AGGGCAAAGATATACGTGATCTAATATCTTGACACGATTGGAAGGACAGGCACACTTGTGTTTATAGGAAAGCTATCCATATGTTTACATAAAAGTGGTTGATGTGTTTATAGGAAAGCTATTCACATGTTGTTTTTTAAAATGAAAGTTGTTCATGTATTTATAAGAAAGGTATAATTGTGTTAAATGGAAATGCATATTTATAGCAAAAGCGTATGCATGTTTATAAGAAAGGTATACGTGCGTCTCTATAATCAAATAATCACTGCTTCCCTTCCTAATTTTGAAACATTGTCGCAGTCAAATTCACCCATAAACGCAAACTTCATAAATTAAATGTAAAAAGACGTTCATAATCAACAATGAACAGTATGCCTAACATTCTAAACGGTTTCATTGCCACAGAAATAGCCTGTTCACCCCTCTTGGGCTACTCCATAACTCCTCTACAATGGTTGAACGTCATGAATAATTTGAACTGAGGTGGAATCGCTATTTGAGACAAGAAAGTTGGAAAGACATAACTTGGTTATTTTCTGTTTTCAGGCAATAATAGACTATTAATAATAGTAGACGTAATATAAAGAGACAAACGTATTATATAATTTTTATGGTTAAGAAACATTAGTATGATTTAGGACTAAGAGGGGCGTTCAACAAGTCTTTACTCAAACTATGCAAGAAGCAGGCTAGAAAGGTGAAATATGACAATCACAAATACATTGTTATAATAGTCAACCTGCAAATTGCCCCAGTTTTGCCATTTTTGTATGATCTTCAAACGTGGACCAAAACCATTCTTTCACTGTAGACATGGCATCTTCTTCACTGTGGAAACGCCCTCTTTTGAGATTTTTGTTTTCAGATTTGGGAAGAGAAAAAAGTCAGACTGCGAAATAGGTGGTTGTGGGAGAATTTGCTTGCTGTCTGATTTGCCTTTACCGCTCTGTGCACAGGAGGATCGTCGTGCAGGTGACAGACGATAAAGCGCGGCCATTTTGCTTGCGGCACCGGAAATCCGGGACATCATGGGGCTAGTGTAATGCTGCAGGCAAAGATACCTGGCACGGTGTTTGAGTCGTTTTTTTTCCTCCGCGAACACGAGAGACTATAATTAAAAACGCAAGCCGACCAGCTTTTTACGGGCGAAAGTCGGACGTGGGAAGTCGCGTCGATATCTCTGGCTTTAGTTGATGAAATCTGATCAAAGAGATTTTCAACCTTTTACGTCATAGAGGCCAACCGCGCCAATTTGTCGTGACAAAACGACATTATGGTCTCGTCGTTTGCTGGCTTGTTCGAGTGAATGCGAATTCGCCTGCCTCTTTTCGAATTATTAGTTGTTGGTCGGAGACAG